TAAAAGGGTAATTTTTTATTTTAAATAAGTGTTTTAAAAACTTTATAAATAGACATTCAGTCTCAATCTTTGGAGTAATTTTGCAATTATTTTGACCGAATTATATTAAAATTAACAAAGTTGTTTCATATTTTCAAAAGTATTTTCTATCTTCAAATAATCAAAGTTGTGTTGAGTTATAAAATCTTTATGATGATTTTATTGTCTTGACAAACTCTTTTTGATTTGTTATCATTTATTTGTTTCAATGTTATCTTGTGGTAGTTGTATTAAGAATTGATAAATCATATATCTTTTTTAAAAGTTGATGCAGGCTGATATCTTTTTGAAAATGATATCTTCTTGGGTGTTTCAACATTCAACATTGATTGTTGTATTGAATTTGTAATTATTGTTTGCTTTCTACATACTCCATTTGATAGTAGAACAATTTTTTCAAAGAGTGAGAAACTAAGGATTGAATATCAATATTTTATGCAATATTTTTTATTATTATCAAAAAGACACATTAATATTAAGTCTATTATCAAAAGACACATTAATTATTGATTGTATTTATTTTGTAGCATTTTTTCTCATACAAAGTAATTTTGGTTTTTTATAACGAAAATGAATTAAAAACATAAAACAAAGATTGAAAAATATAAAATAAGAAGATAAAAAAGTCAATTTACAAATTGAAACTCCATACAATTCATCTTATCATAATTATCTAAAAATTTAGATATAAATTGAAACAATTAACCAATTAAGTTAATCAAATTAAAATATCATTTAATCTAATTTTTACCTAATTATCAAATCAAGATTCAATTGATTTCTAAAAATAAACAAATTAGATTACAATCACAAAATAAATTTAAATTAGAAAAAAGAAGAACAATCTCATAGCATCAATTGATTGATGCAAATTTTAATCTGATTTGTATATCTTGAATTCATAAATTAGTTTTCAGTAATTACTTTTCCATATATAAAGAAATAATATCACAACAAGAGACAAAAAATGAAATAACAATTCTAAATTTGAGAGAAAAGGAAAGAAAAAAAAAACAACTTTTAAAATTATAAAATTAAACAAATGATTTATGTCTAAATGTTTAGATTAAATTTAAGCTGTATATGACATAAGTCTATAGAAGGAATCTAATGAAGTCCATAACTTCAAATACAAAACTTCACCTTAATACAAGAAAAATCAAACACATATAAGTTATTTTATAGAAATTCAACAAATTTGTCTAAACTTTCAAAATTTATAAACGAGACTTCAAATCCAATAACTAATATATGCATTTTCAGTCCTTTAAAAATGTAGATTTCAATGTAACTAAAACCAACAAATAAAATAACATTTAAAAATAATAATTAAGACGGTATTTATCTGGCTCAAAAAATATGTTAATATTGCTAACACTATTCACCTGATATGGTTAATAATGTTTAAAAATATATTTATTAGCTTAATTATGGTATATTAACAAAATATGTGATAAAATATTAGTAGTTTGATTATATTTTATATATTCTTAATATTATATATCAACATAATATAATATATTTTATTAGTTTATATTATCTTTTATTATTACTAAGTATAGGATATATCATTAAGTTATTATTATTATTATTTTATTATTATTATTATTATTATTATTATTATTATTATTATTATTGATATTATGATTTTTTTTGTAACTGATGTCTTAAGGACTTATAAACATTATTATTATCGATATTATGATATTTTTTAACTGATGTCTTAAGGACTTATAAACATTATAAATACATGTTATATTTTTAAGGAATAATATTCATTTTCACACACTCGTATGAACTCAAACTTTTTTATTAATTTGTAAATTAGAGAATTTTTTGTAGATGAATATTTTGTTTATGTTTCTATAATCAAGAACATTCATGAAAATTTTCAAGCCATTCAAATCCCTTCACAAATTAAAAATAATTATATTCAATTCAATTTATTACAACTAAAATAAAATTGATTTATATTAATTATTTTTTAAATAATATTTAAAAGATATTGATGTGAATTTTATTAAATATCCTCTTCATAATAAACAAGTCACTTTAGAAAAGGAGTTATTTAAGTAAACTATTAATTAAAATGATTTATATTTTTTAAAGAATATAGTTAAGCCTTTAATTAATTTTATTTCTTAAATTTCTTAGAAAACAAACGGGGAGGGTTCGGAGCTGAAAGTTGAAACCCTATACGGCGGGAAAAGAAAAAGGGAAACGTCGTTGGCGGGAATCAAAATAAAAAACAACACGCAATTTTGGTTAATTCATTCAAAGCATAACATAACCCACAACACATATCATCAACTGTTTCGCTTCCCTCTATTTCTAGGGTTTCGAAGATGTTCTCCAGCTCCCAATTCGATGCCACCGCCGGCTTCTCCGGCGGCGGATTTATGTCCTCTCAGCCGTCTAACTTCAACGATTCATCTTCCGCACCGCCAAAAGTATGCAATCGATCTCTTTTTTGTAATTTTCCATTTCTCTGCAAAATAGAAACCACCAAACAAAGCACGCACGCACTCAGGATAATTTATTTTGTGAGATATGAGTCGAACGCGTTGGTGTTAACCTAATTTCAGTAGTTGCAACTAATTTTGTTTTTCGTTTTGAAAGCGAAACACTGTGCTTTACTAACTGTGTTGTGTGTTTCGGTCGTTAAAGAGTCGCGAAACTCAGGGTTTGGTGCCGGTGACGGTGAAGCAGATTAGTGAAGCCTCTCAAACCGGTGACGAAAAATCGAATTTCGTGATCAACGGTGTAGATCTGAACAATGTATGCCTCGCGCTTTTATTAGTCAGTTTTGAATTATTTTTCTTTCATTTTATAAGAATTGGTATGCCGTGCTTTTTTGTTTATTACATAGTGGGGAAAAACATATATCAGTAATGACTGCGTAACACTTCTTAATTTTATGGTACCCTTGTTCGAAATATGGAAAAGTATGTCATGTTTTTGTTTGAGTTTAATTTTTTGGTATTGACTGCGTAACACTTCTTAAATCATTGGATGCATGTGTGATATAAAGTTGTACACTCACAATGACTATAATTAACATTTATAAACGGTTCGTTTATAATTTTTAGTGTCTAATTGGTTAAAGACTTGAAAGTGGAGTCATCTTTATATTGGCCATGCATGAAAATTAAACTCTTACTTTACATACTTTAATGTTTGCTTTAGTTTGGAAAATATATGCATTGACCGCGTTATTGTCATCTATTGTCTGTTTACTAATTTCATAATGACTGCTTTAAGAGCACAATCTATGAAATTTTTTGGTTGCCTAATAATGTACAATACTTTATGTTGACAATGCCTTCTTATTGCTTTCTTTGCTTTACATTATTTTGGTTCAGGTAACACTAGTGGGGATGGCGTTTGAGAAAGTTGAGAGAAACACCGATGTCAATTTTGTTTTGGACGATGGAACTGGACGAATAAAATGCCGAAGATGGTATTCTGTGCACTATAAATGTTATTTCAGATTAAATTAGTTTTCAAATAATTTGTGTTGTGTTGCTTTGCTTTCTATTGTGGAAAATTTTCCCAATAAATGTTTGTAAAATGTGGTTTGAGTTTTTGGTGTTCTTTTATCAGGGTTAATGAGACTTTTGACACGAAGGAAATGGAGGAAGTAATGTAAGTTCATGAATATGTAATACACGAGTCTGTGATTGTTATATTTCTAAACTTAATTTTTTTTTTCAATGATAGGAATGGTATGTACGTCCGAGTTTTTGGGCATTTGAAAAGTTTCCAAGGCGTTAGGCAACTTGTAGCTTTCTCTGTCAGGCATGTGCTCTACACCCCTTTTTGTGTTATGTTGTAGCAATTGTGCAGTGGGTGTTTATTTACTAATTTGATATGATATCTTGGTATGAATACGATTTTCTTGAATCTTCAATGAGAACAGGTTCAAATCACTTATGGATAAGAGTTATCCTTTCTCTATGTCATTGGTCATTACTTTAGGGATCTAATTATGACTTGGAGTGAATTTATAGAATGTGTTATACACCTTAATAAGCACAGGTTTAAGTCAGTTATGGAGATAAGTCAATTCTTGTTTATTTCATTAGTCATTACTTTAGCTATCTAATTGGAAGTTGGAGTAAAGTTATGGTTCACTATATCTAATGTTAAGGGTGTTTGATATTGAAGAATGGGGTGGCTGTCATTGTGGTTTATCAGGTTCATCAATGTTGAGACACTATTATTATATATTAGGAAAAGATGCCGGATTATTCAACAAATGTATATGAATCCTTTTTGGGGGCTCTGTCACTTGCTCCCAGCATGAGGTGCTTCAGTCATGACTTGCCACTATATACGTTTAGATACACTTTTACTAGCTGAATGCTTCCACAATTAAAATTGAAATCGGGGAAGAGAGTAGAGACAGGCAAGGATTTAGATTAATAGTGGGTGTACCTACTCTAAAATTGACTCAACAACTTACATCCTCCCTTTATTTCTAGTAAAACAGTTGCAAAGTTGTTCTTCCTGGGCTTAGAACCATTGCATATAATAGAACATCACTGATTATTGGTTTTGTTAACGATTCAAAGCACCTTTGTTGTGTTGGATGTATTGATACCTTGCTATTAGTGGGTTTTCTTGCTTAGCTTGGGAGCTGTTGCTGATATGCATTTGGGTGTTTAATGGACCGCTTTTTTCTCTGGGGTGTGTATGGCTGTTTTAAGAGGTTTCACATAAACCACTTGGGATGTATCGGAGGTTCTTATTATATGGTAGTTTCTTCTGCTGTTTTCAACATTTAAGCATGTACTGTCGTATATTCAGTTATATTTTTCTTTTGTCAAAGCAAACCAGAAAACAAATGCTCGTGCCTGCAAGTTGGTGATTACTGAGCGTCTATTGGTTATGTTTCTGTATCTTCTCGTCATTGTTAAACTTATCTAGTACTTATAATTTTTTGGAGGTTTTTTCCCTATTATTTAATTATAAATGTGAGCGATGTCAGGTTTTTTAGCCTCACGGAATTTGTGGTTTTGATTTTCAATATTGATGTTTGCATTATTTAGACTTCAATCTTAGTTTTAATTGTCGGTGATGGGTGCCCAACTTCCTGGAGGTATCATTTGATTTTCAAACTTTCCCCTGGAATAGTGTATCTTTTGATTGGAGATTCAGAGTTTGTTGAATTGAGAAATTTACACGTGAATTACAAAGTGATAGTTATATCTGGTTGTATAAAAATGATTTTTTTCAAATTGTGATATGTGCAATTTTCCATGATGAGAAAGTGTGTATATTTGGCAAATACTGTAGCTGAGTTTTATCGTATGCTTATTTCATATTCATGGTGTTTTTCACAGGCCCGTGACAAATTTTGAGGAGATCCCTTTTCACTTTATTGATTGCATACATAACCATCTGCGCTCCAAACTGAAGGTGCACACAACTTTCATACTTTACCTGAATTCTTTTCGATCATAGTATGATGGTTCATGGCAGTGGATAGCATGGATATCCCACGAATTCAGCAAATTTGAGAATCGTCTATAATCCAGTCATTGGACCATTAGAAGCTTTGACTGTTAACATTCCCAGCTTTGTGCCTTGTCAAGTGGACATACCTGACATGTATATTTTCGTTTGGATCGTAGTTGGAAGGAATCACTTCTACAAATCCTTCATCTGTCTCATCTTTGAACACTCCTGTCAAAAATGCCCCAAATGGATCTCAGCCGCCCACGTCAACTCCAGTATGATATTCTATATCACACATTTGCTGTTTGCTAAAGTTTAATTGGATTGATGATACTATTTTTCTAATCTCAGGCATATGCACAGTATAGCGTGGATGGACTTAAGGATTGCGATAAATTGATTATTGACTACCTGCAGCAGCATTCAGATATGTGAGTTATAAATTTAAAATTTTATTTTACTTGATTTCCATTAATTTAATATTTGATATTTTCAACAAATGTAACATTTGGATTTTCATCGCACAAAATTCACCTGACTTGTGATTCCGAATGATTTCAAAACTGGATTTAAATTGCAGGTCAGATGAACGGGGAATACATGTCAATGAACTATCCCGGGAGCTCAAGCTTCCAATGGACAGGATCATGTCAGTTCTGTTATACGTATCTTTCTCTTTACGCAAAGCATTTGCTGGTGATGTAACTCAACTGTTTATGTTGTTAGGTTGTCGCTGAAGACTCTTGGAGACGATGGTTTAGTATACTCTACCATTGATGACTACCATTACAAACAAGCTTGATATTTTATGTAACGAGGAATATAGGTGAGGATCGAGCTGGATACTGCTACTAGGACGTGAACCGTGATATATTTTGACTACAAGTTTCGAGTTGTAGATATGTTTCTGAATCAATTGATCTATTGTATGCTAAAAACAAAAAGAATCAGCTCTGTTAACACTTGTTAAATGATTTTAGGCTGTATGAAAAAAAGTTGTATTTTCGCGTTTTTTTTAAATTTCTTGGATGTCGTTTTTGTTTCCAAATCAATACTTTCTGGAATTTAGGTACTGTTCTTAATATCATTTATGCTCCAATTGCCCGTAAACACAGAATAATAATAATAACTATTATTATTATTGCAATTAAACCATTATTTTAGGTCTAGTGTTACGATTATGAAATTTCTAATATTTTTAGGTACAATGTAACAATCATTCATGTGAGGTATCTGCAATTCAGTAACACCCACTACTTCCACAAGGCCGAGGAGTTATAAGCTGTTCGATTTGAAATATTCTTGTATGACCGTGAACACGGCTTCGCTGCCTTTGCATAAATTACGTAAAAAATTAAGCATTTTATAGTTTGGAATAATATAAAAATAAAAATAATATAAATAATATAAATTGCTTATTATTTTTATTTTTTAATATAACTATTATAATAATATAAATTATATTTTAATAATTATTAAAATATGAAAATATATGAAATAATATTTAAATTTTAAATTAAATTAAATAATTATTAAATTTTAAATAAAAAACAAAATTGTAGAAAAAAATGTTAATCGAATTATGAAATCCGTTAATGTTTAATATTTCAAAACCATAGAAATTAGATATTTTAGTTTTGTTTAATATTTTAGTTTTGTTTAATATTTGGAATTATGAAATCCGTTAATGTTTAATGATAGTTAAAAACTAAAATGGAAAAAATGACTACAAGACAAAATTGTGTCTGTTATATATATTAATTGAATTTTATATCTGATGCTAGTTTAGGAAAATCGGATAGTGTGGGATCTTAGGATGTGTTCTCTTATACAACATGCATAATAAAGTCTTACAAATTAATAAAGCAAGATTATTAATTGTACACCATTAAGCAATAGTGTTTTATCTTCGCAACACTTTTTTGAAACAATTTTTCTTATAATTTTTAATTGCCTACTGACACTTTACTGATATGTATTTTAAACCTATTAACGTATCCGTCTCAGATACGTGATTTCCAGGGATATGTAGGCCTGATCCACGTATTGGTGCATTACAAACAAAAGATTACAAAGTTGCTACAAACAGATCTCATCCCAGAAGTACAATATACCATGTGGTTGACCAATGTCATTTTCATCATGGTACAAATAGACTTCAGTTTCTAAGATGCTTACTCAGAAATGGTTAGATCCAAATGCAGGAGTGAGGATAAAGAGAGAACGACTTTTATCACAGACAAATTTATGCTATGAAGTAATTTCTTTCGATTTGAAGAATGCAGAAGTTACGTTTCAGAAAGTATCGGACTAGATATTCTGAGAGCAGATAGCCAAAATCATAGAGGTGTATGTTGATAATGCGATCCTCAAATTTAGACAATAAAGCAACATGCCACCGACCTCGAGAAGATAATGTGATCCTCAAATAGTTTTAACACTGTTTGAGGCTTAGATGATACCTTCATCAACATTCGTTACTCTTGATACAAAATTAAGACACAAGTAAAGATGCAGAAACTCTGTTCCCTGGTGCACAACCTTCACTAGAAGACAAGGTTATAAAGAACCGTCCATGACATATTAATGAAACCAGCAGGGTCAACACCTGGATGTACCAGAAATGGGAAATCGTTTACATTTTCTACTGAAGCCTACATGCATTGTAAAAATATCCAAGTGAAGTTCCAACATATGAAAAAAAATTTATGCATATTAAATTCAAACAAGACATCATAAAAGAAAATGTTGGACAGTTATAAATTTATATATATGTGTGTTATGGTTGAAGAATAATCTTCACTGTCCCAAATGGTTAAGCAGTGGTATTTTCAGATGGCTCCATCGGAAATGAACGGAGGGGTAAATGGTGAACCAAGAAAAGAAACAGTCAAATAATGTGTTTCAAAAAAATAACAAAAAGGAACGACCAAAAACCAAAACAACATATAAAGGAAAAAGAAAAAAAAAAGGTTTGATCATTAAACTAAGATGGGTAAATTCAAAATTCTACATTTCACACTAAAAACAACCTCCCAAAATAATTTGCAAAATATTAAATAAATAGTCTCCTTTGACAAATCACAATATTGCAGGTACCAAATCACCGAAGACTCCTCTTGCCTTTAACAAACTAAATGGTTCAACTGAATCATTTTTACAAACACTTTAGGGGCATCTATATATACTTTCTTAGGTCTAGTCCTTTTGAAGTCATTGGTCACATAAAATTCCCAAGCTATAATCATCCTTGCTTCTATTTCTTACTTTCCACATACATCAAAAGCCAAGACAACTCAATCACAACAATTAAAACAGATGCATCAACGCTTTAACCTTAAAAAATAACTTTAATCTAACTCAATCCACTCTATTTATAATATGAATTAGTTGTAGTTAGTACTTCCAACACAAAATTTCAAGTAAAAAAAAAAATAAAAAGAAGAAAGAAAACTATATAACTACATAAAACACACCGAACATATATGATAGGAAAATAGCTTCTGTATTTCTCTGGCAACTCACACTTTCAAGCTTACCTTCTATTTATTGCTAAGAAGAGGAGAGAGAGAGGGAAGCGGTGAAGAGAGAAGTATGGTATGCAGGAAAGACATCCACAATTAAATTTTATAGTTTTATTGAAAAAGAAAATGAAATTTAGTGTGATGAAAAGAAGTAATCTAGATAGTTAATTTAAATTTCATATTAACATAATTGTGAAATAGTATATTAACATAAATTCGTAGTAGTTGAGGTGTGCAAAAGACTAATGAAATGACATTTAACTGTACACGTGAATTTCGTTCAGACACAGTGAGGTGGATCTAAAAAGAAATGTCTTTTATTTAATGAAATCCAATTTTTGATAAGGGTGGATTCTGAAATTAAGGTTTTTTTTTTATTTTACTTCAATGAAAGTCATAGTGAGATTCGAAATTAACCAATCTTCTTCTCAATCTTGGTGGTTGATATTCTAATATTGTTTTTCTTGTTGCAATAGCTTTAGCCATCGAAGTTGTCATTCCTCACATGGTGGTGGTTCAATAGGGTAGGGATAATCCCCATTTGCAATTGTGGAGAGATGACAGTAGTAGAAATGACTAGAACTTCAAAGAATGCTGAAAGATATTTTTAGATTGTCGTAACTACAATATTAATCTGTGGCCCAAATGATACAAGCAGTGGGAGCGGCCCAATAGTTCATGGCCCACAACTCTGATAAATCTATCAGAGGGAAAATATCAACTCTGCAAACGTGGCAGAGGCTGTGTGAGTGAGGAAGAAAGAGAATGGAGAATCCAGAGGCTTCTTCCCTGGAGAGGCGAAAAAGAAGGTGGCAGCACGGCGGTACGGCGGCTTCAGGCGACCGGAGTGCAGAAGAGAAAAATGGAGAGAATGGAGAGACAAGTAAGTAAAACCCAATCTTTATCTGTTTCTATAATATTGCTTGTAATTTCAGTTTTCCATTACATTCAAAGACATATAGAATAGCTCTATTTATAGAGCTCTTGAAAACAGAAAACAGTTAAAGTAATAACAGAAAAACCAAAACCTAAGATGCTAATGGACTACGGTTCAAATTACAATAAAAGGAATCAAAAATAGTTTGATTCTTAACAGCCTCCCCTCAAACTGGACGGTGTATGGTCACCAGTCCAAGTTTGGGAATAATGGACTTGAACTTGACGTGGTGAGGAAATTTGGTGAAGATATCAGCAAGCTGTTCATCGGATCGCACGGGAAGAAGGGTGAGGAGGCGTTCTTGGATTTTCTCACGAACAACATGGCAGTCAAGCTCAATATGCTTGGTGCGTTCGTGAAAGCTCTGGTTGTGAGCTATATGTCTCGCGGATTTGTTATCACAGTATAAAGCAGGTATTCCTGATGTTTCAATTTTGAGATCTTGTAAGAGATAGCAAAGCCACTGTATTTCACATACAGTGGCTGCAAGTGCCCTGTATTCAGCTTCAGTTGAAGATCTGGAAACAGTCTTCTGCTTCTTAGACTTCCATGAAATGAGGGATGATCCTAGGAAAATACAGAAACCTGTTGTGGATCTTCTGGTGTTGGGGCAAGTAGCCCAGTCAGAGTCACTGAAAGCTTTTAGTTGTATAGGAGAGTCAGCAGCAAAAAATAACCCTTCAGAGGGCTTAGATTTAATATACCTGAG